CACTTCCATCTTCTCCATGACCTTCTCAGTGATTCCCACCCATTTCCTGCTGGCAACCACCCTCCTTTCCATAGTTTTGCACCAAGCACGACAGAGGCTCCCCTAGTGCCCAAGGTTGATCACCACAGAGCCATTGAGTGAAATAAGAAGTTGTGAAAACCTGATTATTAAGGATGGATGGTTGCTGTGAGGAAGTGCCCGAAAATAAAATTAGAAAGCAGAGTGCATTTCCTTGGACTTTCAACGAGGACTGTTTTCTTGACTCCCATCCTGTCCTCCTGGAGAGCAACACTTTGTCCAACTCCACGTTGCCACTCAACTGATAACAATGCATGAGGCAGTGCTTCCCCTCAAAGACTGTTCGTAAATGACTTAGACAAAGTCACCCCCCTGGAGTTTTTGTAGCCACGTGGAGAATTAGAACGTGACCCACACGATTGAGTGAGAGGCATGGACCAAAAGGAAGTGAGCACTGGGGCAGCGTGGAGGAGGGAGGGGCCACTTCCTGTGGGGATCAGGAGTGGTGTCCTGAGGAGGAGGTGCTCCGGTGGGGACTGGGAGAGGGAGGCTCATGTGGGAGTGCCGTGGGGCAGGTGAGGGCATACAGGATGGGAGAAGCAACTGCAAAGTGCACCTTTTAGGAAAGCACAGGGAGGACTGGGGAGCTCAGGTGACTCTAAGGGCACCAAAAACCTGAAAAGCACAACTGGTCCCCCAAGGGGGTCCCTGAAGGTCCGCAGAGGAGCCTGAACGGGCCCTCCAGAATTTCAGAGATGGGCCTATGTGACCAAGCACCGCGCAGTAACCACCAGGACAAGAGGGCGAGATTCTGAGTCTAATGTGATTTAATTGTATTTAAATGTCACATCTTTGTGAAGGACACACTTCAACACATCGTCAGTGACAGCAGCTTCTTCATCTCCAATTACTATTTTTTGCAGCATTTGACTCCTGGGAAGAGACAGTTGCCTATTGGTCTTCTACCTCCAGAGCAACGAAATGGCATGCAGATTCCACCTTTCTTGTTGCAACTAGGACCACCAAGCCGAGCAAAACCTAAAATGAAAATATAAAAGGTAAGAGAGTCAGACATCAAAGCCCCATTTCAGAGAGGCCCTTGGTGTCAGCGTTCCCTGGAGTGAAACCTCGGGCGGGGGTTACGCCATCGAGGTGAGAAGAGGTGAGGCTGTGATGCTAGGATCCAGTTTTCCGACAGACTAGAACTGCTGAGGTTGGAGAGGATTCTTGCATTTCCAGAACTAGTGTGGGACAGGCTCTGAGCGGTGGCTGTGGGACAGGACAGGCGGACAAGAGTCTGTACCATTTCCGTTCCTCCAAAAGAGAGAGTCACCAGGAAGTCAAGGTGACACCGGGCCAGTGCTTTCAGGATGGGACACAGCCAGCAGGGGTCAGTGTTTACGTCTTTGTTTTCTCCATCATTTCCTCAGTGAAGTATTTGAGCTGAGATGCCTCTTCCGGTGCAAGGATTGGTTAAGGAGAACTTAATATCTAAGTAACTCACAATGTAAAATAAGGATAGTTTTAAAAAACCTCTTTCGTGCCCTAGCCAGTTTGGCTCAGTGGATAGAGTGTTGGCTTATGGACTGAAGGGTCCCAAGTTTGAATCTGTCAAGGGCACATGCCCAGTGCGGGGCGTGCAGGAGGCAGCTGATCCATGATTCTCTCTCATCATTGATGTCTCTCTCTCTCCTCCCTTCCTCTCTGAAATCAATAAAACAGGTGCAAAGAAACCTCTTTCCTAATGGTGTCTCTAATCTCCGAGAACTCTCTGCTGGTCCGGCTCTCACAGGCCCTGGCCCTCCCGGGAGGCTCCCTTCAGTCCTTCCTGCCTTCCCTCTCATCTTCCTGCTCCTCCCGCCTCCTGGCCATGTCCCCTCCACCTCCCTCCCTGGTAAGGCTTGTCTTGGAATACAGCCAAGAAGAAGACAGGTAAAACAAGAGCTTTCCAACATAATTTAAGGTCTACTCCTTGCCTCCCGCTTCTCCCTCCCTCCTCTCCTTTTGGTCTGTTTCCCTAACACGAAAGAGCAAGGACAATGCTGGCATCCAGGTTTCAGAGCCGCTGTGCATAGGCTGCCTGGCCCTGAGCCAAGAGCAGCCACGGCAGGAGTGTGTTGAAGGACCTTCGAGCTGGGAAGACAGGGTGCAGAGGTGCCCCAAACAGTGGCTCCCCAGTTGAGGCTGGGCCTTGCTATTCTCTGGGTTACCAAGGACTCCCCACTTTAGTATAAAGATCTGTATAGTGATACTCTGCACTTCTGGGCTGGAACCAAATCAATTTTTTTTAAAGAAAGAGTGGAAGGGAGGGAGGAGTGGGGAGGAGAGAGAGGAAGAAAGAGAGAGAGAGAGAGAGAAAGAGAGAGAGAGAGATCAATGTGAGAGAGACACATCGATTGGTTTCCTCCTGCACGCCCTGTCCTGGGCCAGTGATTGAGCCTGCAACCAGGGTACGTGGCCCTGCCCGGGAATTGAACCCGCAACTCTTCAGTTAAAGGACCAACGCTCTAACCACTGGGTAACTGGCTAGGGCAGTGGTCAGCAAACTGTGGCTCACGAGCCACATGCGGCTCTTTGGCCCCTTGAGTGTGGCTCTTCCTCAAAATACCATGAGCGGGTGCTCACGTACAGTGTGATTGAAACTTTGTGGCCCATGCACAGAAGTCGGTATTTTGTGGAAGAGCCACACTCAAGGGGCCAAAGAGCCGCATGTGGCTCGTGAGCCACAGTTTGCCGACCACGGGCCTAGGGCATAATTTCTTGCTTTTCTTACACGAGAAAAGCCAGCTGACCGAGGTGTCCCTGTTAGCAGCACCTGGTCCTGGAGCCCAGAGACGAGCTGGCAGTTACCCCCTTGCGGGCGCCTTCGGGAGTGCAGAGTGGCTGTGCCCTGCAGGGTCCAGCTCCGGACCTGCGTCCTCGGCGATGGGTGGGGTGCTTGCATCTCATAAGCCGTTCAGTCTCTTTGATCCAACGTGTGTGTAGAAGGAGAAGAGAGAGGAGAGGGAGACGGAGAGGGAGCGAGGGAGGGGGACACAGAGAGAGAAGTCCTGTGATGTCCGTCTGCACCCCCCTCTTACCTGGGACAGGCAACAGGAACACGAAGAGGAACGCAAGCAGGAGAAGTTGGAGCCTCATGGTGAGCCAGGAGCTGAGCCACTGACTGAGGGAGCCGCGCTTCGCTCCTTATAAAGGGCCCAGGTTGGCTGCAGCTTTGGGAACCCAGAGCAATTAAATTGTTCCTCTCGCCTGCCCTGTGCGTCACGATAAGGTCCTCGGAGCCCAGGGCACACCCATCATTTCATGCGAGTCCGGACGGGAAAACCCCAGGGGACCCGTCTTTCTATCTTTCTGGACGAGGCCAGGCTTTTCCGTGTGGGAAGTGACTTCCTGGAGCTCAACTGCCCGCCCGGGGCCTTGGAATCTGCCTGCCTGGCATTTGCTGAGCGTCTGGGGACAGTCTCAGGCCACACCAGGAACCAGACTGGTGTCACTGGGAGGGACAGGAGACGCGGGGGCCCGAGCCTCCCTGGGTGCCCATGGAGGGTGACATTCAAGGGGAAGCTCCTACAGCTTAGCATTGCCCTTGTGGCGGGTGAGGGGCAGGTAGGTCCTGTGTCTCTTCTTCAGAGAAAGGAAGGGGGATGCAATAGGGACAGACCCAGCTCCTCAGTCTCCGTGTCACAAAGCAAGGACGGCCTTGGGGTCACTCGGACACCCAGGCCACATCCAGCTCTCCCTGCATCAGTGCCTGAGAGCCCATGGTTTGTGCTCTTCTCAGACCCATCAGAGCTGAGCTCCCATGGCCCTGAGACTGGGGATTCTGGGGGACGCCCTGTGGGAACGGCAGCTGCCCCAGGCCCTCCCCGTCATTGGTGGGACCCTGTTCTGAAGGCACCCAGGACCCCAGGCTCTGTGAGATCTCCCGCTGACTCCCACAACCTCACCCTTGCTCTGAGACCCAGCGAAGGCAATGGTGGCCCAGAGACTGGACTGAGCCCAGCGCCCCACGCTCAGGGTAGCTTTTTCAGAGGCAAAGGAAGGTGCATTCGTGATGAGCCCTTCCTCTTTAGTCCAATGATGTTCGAGAGCAATAGACATGTTTACCTACATTATAATCACCTGCAGAGAATACACTCAAGTGTTGCTTATCAATTTGGCTGGAAACACTCCCTAATCCAGGGTCTTTTTTTTTTCTATTTATGAATTTATTATTTATTTATTTATTTATTTATTTTTATCCTCACCTGAGGATATTTTTTCATTGATTATTAGAGAGTGGAAGAGACGGGAAGAGACAGAGAGAAACATCAATGTGAGAGAAACACATCGTTTGGTTGCCCCTGCACATGCCTCAACCAGGGCCCAGGCTGGGGAGGAACCTGCAACAGAGGTACTTGCCCTTGACCAGAATTGAACCCGGGACCCTTCTGTCCACAGGCAGAAGCTCTATCCACTGAGCCACACCGGCCAGGGCCAGGGTCATTTCTGATGAGTGTGGTAAGGGGACTTGGGAGGAAGGAGTAGAATCTGGCCACGCCCCTCTGTCATTTAAAGGCCTGGTCGACAGATCCTGGTGACACCTGGCAAGGAAGTGCTTCCAGAAAGCAGGGTGCCTCTGGGTGTGGGGATGGTGGTGGCCATCGCAGGGGGAGTTTCGATGACTGTGACCAAGGCGGCGGCCAGTGCTGAGGGAAGTTGCGAAGGAGTTCCCATCCAAGGCCTCGTCCCCACGAGTCACCGTGAGTCACTTTCCTGGTGGCCACTTTGTTTCCGTGTGTGGAAAGCAGATTTGCATGGAGCAGTCACTGCAATCCTGACCCTAAACTCTTCCTTCCTGGCTGGTAAGGGGACAGATGGAACAATTGAGTGTGAGAGAGATTTAGTATTAATATGTGTCTGTTGAATTAACCACTTTATCATTGGGAAAAATACCCCTGTTTATCTCTGGTAATACTCTTCATCCTAAAATCTATTTGAGGATGTAATTTAATTGTATTTAAATGTCACATCTTTGTGAAGGACACACTTCGACGCATCGTCAGTGACAGCAGCTTCTTCATCTCCAATTGCTATTTTTGTGGAATTGTCTTTCCCACTCTTGTTCTTATTTTTCTACCAATTGCTATTTTTCCAAACAATCCTTGTAGAGAGTATATGCCATCCAAAGGCAGGAGGGCCTAGCTGCGGCCAGCTCTGGTTGGAGATGGTACAGTTTTATTGTACAGGTGCTAAAACAACAACAACAAAAGAAGAAAATGGAAAAAAACCCAATAGAGTCCATTTTCTTTTCTTTAGATTAATATTTCCATAGTATGTCTGTTTCCATCCTTTCATTTTTAATCTGTCTCTTTTTGTTTGATATCTCAAATGGTTTTTTTAATAAACAATGTGCATCTGAATCTCATTTTTCTCTGAATTGACAGCCTCTCTCTTTAAGATAATGTCTAGAATCTTAGTAGCCACGTTCGTTCCATCACGTAGAGCCAAATTCCCATCAGGCATCATTTTTCTTCTGCCTGAAGAGTGTTGTTTTTTTTCAAATACTGCAGGTTTTGCTGATGAGGAATTTTCTTAGTTTTCTTTTTGTTGTTTAAAAAGTTTTACCTTATTGCCAGCCAGCATGGCTCAGTGGTTGAGCATCCACCTATGAACCAGGAGGTCACGGTTCTATTCCCAATCAGGGCACATGCCCAGGTTGCTGGCTTGATCCCCAGTGTGGGGCACGCAAGAGACAGCCAATCAGTGATTCTCTCTAATCCTTGATGTGTCTATCTCTCTCTCTCTCTACCTTCCTCTCTGAAATCAATAAAAAATATATTTTTAAAAAGTTTTACCTGCTCAGCTGGTGAGACTGTTTGCAGTTGGGAAGGGCAGAACTCCCCTGGAAAGGTAAAAAACCAGGGATCTGGGCAGGAAAGTTTGCCAGACCTCTGAGCCCAGAGGGTCAGAGGGAGACCGCGTGGCAGACAGCCGCGTCCCTTGGGACAGACACAGCCCCTGACTGGGGAAAGGAGTTCCGCGGG